GGTCGGTAGGACGAAAGGTTTGCTTCGGGTTTCCCGGGCTTAGGTATCATAGTTACCTGGGCACGTTTCCATGTGGACGGGAAGTACCCTATCTCCAAGCATCTATTATAGATCCTCGTAATTAGCTGAATGCTTAGAGGTGGTAACATTTTTAGTGCAGTTGCATTGATACCATCATCACCATACCATGTTGTTGCTCATGATGGTTATGAGCTCAGCTGTTTCCCCTGGAAGGCTCGACTAGCAGTCGCAGCGATCGAAAGGCGTAAAGACGGCCCTCTTGGACGGTTGGAGGGCCACGGTTGGAACTCTTCTACAACAGTGTCGATGTCAAACGGGGAGTCAAGTGTCGGCCTGGGGTCGGTAACGTTGTTCAGATATGATTGGTACTTGTCAACGTCTGTTGTCTTGTAGATCAGTTTTTGCGGGCTGACCTGAGCTAGGCTGGGGTGAAAAGTGGTCCGAAAAGAGGTCTTCTACTTCTCTCGTCTGAATTCCGGCAGAATCCAGTCCTCTGGAGATGGCGAGGTCTAGGACATCTGGGATTTTTAGTATCCGTAGGCCGTAGGCGGCAATGAGGTCGTATCCTCTAATAGTCAAGTACGATCTGTTGGTAAAATGCGTTTCTGATATGAGGAGAATGTCTGATTGTTGGGTCCTGCAATACAGCTCGACCTTTGGCTTTCTTTTTACCAGGCCGTTAGCATTCCATATGGTTATATCTAATCGCGTATGCATAAGGATTTACAAACGGTGGCCATCATTTGGGCTATTTGGCTCAAGACATTCTCCATCATGCGCTCAAACATAGATTCCATCCTAGCCATTAGGGCGTCCATTGGATTACTTGGAAGACTGGGATCGGGATTGGGGTTGGAGTCAAACTGTGGTGCTCCGTTTTTGGCTGCGCTAGCATAGCTGATGTTAGGGTTAATTTTTCTGAATTGAGATTGCTGGCGTCTTGGGGCAGTCTGCTTGGGGGCGAACGTGCTCTTTGCCCTTTTGTAGGCTGGACAGCCCTTGTAAGAGGCCGCGTGTGATCCGTCGCAGTGGAGGCAGATTAAAAAGTTAATAAAGAAAATGTTTAGTGGCTTCTTTGTACCTTTTTGCGTAGGATTGTGTATATCCCTGACTTTGTGTCCATGGCTGCTGAAACCCACCTTAATATCCTCCGGGTCGGTGGAGAAGTGGAGGCCTTTAACGACGATCTGATAAGCGCGCTCGTCTCGGGGCTGGAATGTGTGGTATCGATGGTTAGTTTCGCTCAGGAACTTTTTCAGAGTTGAGTAAGTATCCTTGTCTGGAGTCATGACGCGAATTGTGTTGTTAGAGCTTGCCTTGTAGGTCACTTCAACATCCCCGCCTAAGAGGCGGGAAATGTCTTTGGAGAGGTCCTTGATGCTGGATACGTCCGGGATAAAAATTGGGGGCGGTTTGATGATTTTCGCCGGTTTTTCCGCAGATCGCTTGGAAAAAGCGATCTTCTTATCATCTTTTTACTTCATACCGTCAACCTCCATGTCGCTGTGACGTCTAAATCAGATAAAATTGCATAATAGTTTTTTTCAATATTAACTTTAAATGCAGCACTGGCTGCTTCGCTGGTGGTTGCTTCGTCTTCCATGATGGGTTTTTTAGCAGGCTTCCGCTTCATTTCTCCATGCTTGGAGTCGCTGGAATCGTCATCTTCAAAATTAGAATAGGCCTTCTTTTTCGAAGGCGGCTTGATTTTGATGGAACTGGAGGGGTCTTGCCAGCCCATTGTGTTGGTTTTGCCCGAGAATGGCCGCAAGATTATGTAAATAAGAATAATTTTTTATTTGTTTGGTGTTTGGAAAAATTTAAAATTTTTCTTTTTTATTTTTTTTTTTAACAAACAATAAAACGATGCTTTAGGTTCAAAGCCTACTGTTCTTAAGTAGAATAAGTGAACGAGGATTTAGGTTTACGTCGTTATTCGATTGACCCACTATATCACTATATACATTTTTTCTCAAACCGAACCCGATGTAAAAAAAAATACTGGGGTGTTCTACTTTCTGTTCCAGTTTTATTGTTAAACAACAGGAATTCACATCTACTCTCATGTGCTGCTTAACAGATACGTGCTCAACACTTATAGATTTGCATTGTTGGATTCGTTCTCATTAAGCTTTATAAAGAAATTTATCTTCTATGGGCGTTGACAGAAATGATCGTTGTCATGGAGTGTATCATGTCCAAGCTTTGCGCGCGGTTCCCACTCCATATGTACCCCCTGCCAAACCGAAAAAGTAGAAAAATTAGAAAGAGACAGAGAAAAATGTATTTTGCTCTAGTAATACATTTAATATAAAGTTCCCTTGTGAACTCCTCAGTACTCCTAGTACTAAAGGGTTAAACTTTGAAGCAGTGCACTGTGGTTCCGCCGATAGGCCAAAAGTCAAAAAATCTGATTAGAAAACATTTAAACTTAATTTACACAGTTTGATTATAAAATGACCAATCTTCAAGTTTGCAAACCAGTTTTCGCTGGAAACCTAATGGTATATTCTAGAAAAAACATTAAAAGCTAGAACACGTGTTCATTTCTGCAGCGCATCGGAGCTCTTGAAAAATATTTCGATGCAAACTCTCACTTCAAATCGGTGTTGCAACTGTTCAAGTGCTTATATTAAAATAATTAAAAATGAATTTTGAAGCTCAAGGTATTTATTTTAAATTATGATATTAATAAAAACAAACTAGATTTGTGTATTTTGTGAAATAAATGTTTTGTGAAACCTATTTCTTTGTACTTTTTTTGTGTGTCTTAAATTTTTTTACCTAAAGTTTTAATTATGTTCCCCCACGATTCCTCCATTGAATTATAGTTTTTTATCTTTGTCAGAGTTTTTAGAATCTTAAATTGTTAAAGTTAGGTGCGGAAAGTTGCGGTGGTGTTTATAATCGTTAATATACTAACATAACTTCTTAGTTTTTTCAAGGCAAAATTATACCAGCGGAGCCCTTTTTTCGTCTTTTGTGTATCTAATGCGTCTTTGTGTTCGTCTTTTGTGATTGTCTACACTTTATATTAATTTTTTTCAATCAGTTATAATAATTTTTTCGCTTTTATTTTAAATTTTTGTTTTCATTTTCAAAGGCGATTCTTATTAAGTCGACTGGTTCATAGCTGTGAAATAAATATGTTTATAATAATCTTGTATTCTTTAATTTATTATTATACCCTTGCAGAGGGCAACTATAGGATATAGTCGGCCGATCCTTATGAAATTTGGCATGACGTAATGTTTTGCCAAAAATAGCTCTCATGTCAAATTTGAACTCTCTAACTCTAAAAACACCAAAGTTATACCATTTCCGATCAATCAGTTATATGGCAGCTATAGGATATAGTCGGCCGATCCGGGCCGTTCCGACTTATATACTGCGTGCAAAGGAAAGAAGGGTGTGTGCAAAGTTTCAAGACGATAGCTTTAAAACTGAGAGACTAGTTCGCGTAGAAACAGACAGACGGACAGACAGACGGACAGACGGACATGCTTATATCAACTCAGGAGGTGATCCTGATCAAGAATATATATACTTTATAGGGTCGGAGATGTCTCCTTCACTGCGTTGCACACTTTTGACCAAAATTATAATACCCTCTGCAAGTGTATAACAAGAAAGGAAAGCTAACTTCGGGCGGAGCTAAAGTTGATATACCCTTGCAGTTTAAACCGGATATATATCGCCAAAATCAGATTTAGTGGGCCGATCATTATGAGAATATAATAATATAACACATTTATTACAATACAAAATCTTAAAAAAAGCCTCAAGCTTCTATCTTCAAAAATACAAAAGTTGGTATTTTCACCAAATACCATTTCCGATCGTTCAGTTATATAGCAGCTATAAGTTATGATTGGCCGAAATGAAAAATGAAACCTACCAAAAGGTCGAATCAACTAACCAAAAATAGAATCTCTACAAAATTTCAACTTTCTATCTTTAAAAACACTAAAGTTGGGACATTTCCGATTGTTCAGTTATATGGCAGCTATAGGACATAGTCGGCCTATCGTTATGAAATTTGGCATGTCGTATTTGGCATGTATTTTGCAAAAGTAGCTCAAGTGTAAAATTTGGAACTCTCTAACACAAAAAACTCTAAAAAGTTATACCATTTCCGATCAATCAGTTATATAACAGCTATAGGATATAGTCGGCCGATCCCGGTCGTTCCGACTTATATACTGTGTACAAAGGAAAGAAGGGTGTGTGCAAAGTTTCAAGTCGATAGACTTAAAACTGAGAGACAATGATAGTTTGCGTAGAAACAGACAGATGGACAGACGGATGCTCATATCAACTCTGGAGGTGATCCTGATCAAGAATATATATACTTTATAGGGTCGGAGATGTCTACTTCACTGCGTTGCACACTTTTGAAAAAATTATAATACCCTCTGCAATAGAATAAAAGAAGTGTCGCTATTATTTAAATCCTCGCATCCGAGTTGAAGCAAGCGTTGGGAGTCGCACCTTTTACCCACTCAACCACGCATGCTTCATTAAACACTATGTTACCCACAAAATATAAAAATATTGTTAAAAGGAACCCCAAAATGAAGGTCGTACTCCAATAAGCTCCTTATGGAAACTGTTTTTATTCGGTAAAGTTCTCTTATATGTAAGTACGATACATGAGAATCTTAAACCTATGTGTTTAAACTTATCAACGTTGACATGCTATGCGACCCTTTCTCAAGTGCGGATACGCTTATGTTTGTGTTATTTATGATGCTTATGTTCGTGTTATTTATGTTAGGCTGCAGGGGATCGGTTTTAGATTATGCTGTTTGACTCGTATTTCATGGGTCCGATCCCTTGAAACTCTAACTTAAGAATTTCTATAAAAAATAGTGTTCAATGCTTGAACAGATATAATAACATCGGCTACGATTTTATCTATTTGAACATTCTCATTTTCCTTAAATGTTAATATTGTAATGCGATATCTTTAATTTTAGCGATGTTGTTGATAAGCTACGTATTTTAGAGGAATGGTCTCTATCTACACATGAAAAAGCTGGTTGCTTGTTATTAGGATATGAGGCTTTCCGTACTCTTGTGTTTTACCATTCATACAAATATAAAGGATGTTCCACTTATTCCAAATTGGAGAGCATTAGAGATGCAGTAAAAAAATATTTGTTAAATCCAGGTAAATAACAAATTTTTTTTTTTAATTAATTATTTATAGATATTTACAGGCGCAGACATTGTTATCTGTGATGAAGGACATATTATTAAAAACAGCAGATCAGCAATAAGTCTTGCGGTGGCAAAAATAAAAACCAGAAAGCGTATTATATTAACTGGAACACCAATTCAAAATAATCTTAAGGAATGTAAGTATTTTTTTTATTCAATGTTATGAATGTTTTGTTATGCCGTAGGCTTAATACATAATTTCTTTATAATGTTATTTAGATTAACAAAGAAAGTTAATATATCAAATGAAAAACAAAAATAAAATATAAGTTTGTTCAAACGAAAGACAAAGAGGAGTAGCCTAGTAACGACAAAGCGGGAGCTTAGATGAACAAATTACTGACGATCAGATCCAGATCCAGTATGCCCCGACATTTTTTCCCCATGAAACTATGAATGAAACAAATAGCTTTTTCCTCTTAAAAATATAAACTTTTGAAATTAATTTTTTATTTGTAAAATAAACCAAACATTTCTTTTTGAAATAGAAAAACAAATTTTTTTAATAACCAATCCTGAGGGTTCGACTTGCTGTCGATAGGCACGTTAGGCTAGGAATAGAGTTAAAAGGTGACCGCAGGGGCAGGAGCGGAAACTCCCGCGTCAGCGAGCTAAAGACTCCTTGCCTCTAGATCCTCTAGCAGGATCTATGAGTCCGTTCGCCCTCATTCTCGGCTATCAGCGAAAATCGTCACCTCAGACTGAGAACCGCCCGAGCACGGACAAAATAGGAATAATTATTACCACCAAAGGAGCCATTTTCCGAGTTACTTATCATGGCCTAAAGACCCATTACTCGATCATAGGGAATTTCAAAAATAAAAGCAGGAACATGAGAGAGAAAAAATTTAAGAAGCAGGAATAAATCAACGACGCAGAAAGCAGGGACGAAAAGCAACGTAGAAGAGCATAAAACGTGGAAAGGAAAACCGCAACCGGATTTTTGAACAGTAACTCCAAAAACTACGCATGAGATTACGGCGAAGAATACGACGAAAAAGACAACAACGGAGCAACGAAGAAGCATAGGAAGAAGCAACGACGAGGCATACAACGAGGAAGCTCACACGAAGGATACATTGCTAAGAAATGTCCACACCCTCAAGTAGCACATCGCCAGAGAGCGCTGATTAGAAGCACGAACCTCTCAGCAGCGTAAGTCCTTTGCCGCAGCCAGAGGAGTTTTTCACTGCGCCATATAAAAAATATGCGACCACCTTGGGGGTCCGCTGGATAAGTTATCGTCGCAAGGACGAACTCTAGGCCAATAGACCGGTCGAAGAACAATTTTATTTATTTATTCTCCTTCTCCTGGGGTGTGTCTCTGGAAACGTATGGCGTTCTCTTAGTGTCTTCTGATCGTGGCGGGGGTAATGAGCTTGGGTGATGGCTTGGTAGGCTCTTGGATACTAAATCTTGTAGTCCTCCGCATTTTTATCCCGGACGTAATGAGCTATACAAGGGCAAGATTTCCAAACGTCATTTCTTACGTACACTGTTGGGCTTTGTGTTCGCTCGACGATCCACAGGAAGCGCTGGTGGAACATCTCTGCTATATCTCCGCATACTGCTATCGTGCCGATTCTAAATGCTATCAAAACGTCAGACAGTGGATGTGCCGGAGATCTAGCTGCAGCATCCCAAACCCGTCAAATCTTATTTGGTTTGTTCCGGTTATGAGCTATGAAAGTTTTCAGGTACCCAATATGGTTGTGGTAAAGATTCTCATTGTCCAACAGCTCGTCGCCAAAGAAGGCTAATTTCGTACCGTCCGTTGATTTTTACGTACGTTTCCTGCATAATTTTGAAAGCTTTTTCATCATCGTTAGAGCGAAGTGTCCGTGTTGTATCGGATTCTACGTTGAACTATTCTTAACGAACTTGTCAATTTCAATCCAGTTGCATTGACTTTTTTTTGATCCTTGCACTCTCCAGCCTGGCATGTCCACCTTATTTCTCTTATTTTCCGTGGAACGTCTAGCTTCTAATTATATGTTCCAATTAGCACCATTGGTTCAGCATCAGTGCATTTCTTTTTGACTGTTGCATTGTTGAGTGTATATACTAGTTAACTCCTTTATGTCCAGCGTTTGCTTTTTTGTTTATCCAATCGGTTCTCTTGTTGTCACACAGATCCCCAGTTGAGAAGCATCTGTTAACATGTATCTCTAAGCATTGAAAGCAAATCCTGTTTTCTCGAACAATTTCCTGCTTTTTTTCGTAAGGTATCTTTTTAAATACCTCGCATTCGGTGATAGGATGGAGTGCACTGTTGCATACGATGTAATGGGTAACTTATCTTTGCGAAGCGTTATACGTTGATGGATTGTATCCCGAGATGCCGTGAGCTTATATGCTATTCTGGACATGGGTGTATTCGTTGCGGGACCTGGAGTATCTCGAGTATTGATGATGTCACTGTGGATGCTGCTTCGGCGATTGGGCGCTAGGGTCTTTCGGGTGCATACCCCAAGTCAGTTTCTAATGTCTCGGCCATTTTTCTACCAACTCTCTTAACAGGAAGGGGTTGTTTAGGTGATCATTTAGCTTGCATGGGTGTATGGGAACGGGCAAAAAAAGAGTTTTTGAAGATTTTTTTTTTTGGAAAAAACTACTGAATGTTTTTGAATAGTTTTATTATCATATTATTCAGTAACATTTCAAATGTTTTTTCGAATTTCTACAAAACAAAATGTCGAAAATCAATGAAGTAGCAGACACTTGAAAGTAGGCACTCAACGGAATTCATTGCGCACATTGCGGTGTCCCGGATATAAGGTCGTAGAATCATCTGAAACACATGGGATACAAAAAAAATTAGTTCTTTAGAAGTATACCTACCAAACAACGTTGCCCTTTTAAAAGAAAATTTTCGTTTTTTCAACTGTAGGTAAAGGTAAAAGTTTGTTTTTAGCCCTAAAAATTCGGCATTTTGTGCCTGTAATATAGAAGCAAAAAATAAATAAATTGGGACCGTTGGCTGGGAGTCAATTCTTCGAAGGGGCTCGGTGTTTGACGTCATATCTCAGTCAGTTTAACTCTGAATGAGATGAAATGAGACAATATTCTTCCATAGTTGTACATTCGATTTAACAATTTTTTTTTTAAATTTTATCTCATACCACCCCCTTAAGAAAACATTACATTAACCGCAATTAGCCGTAAGTCCACTAGCAGGTAGTTTTCCCAGCATCACGCTGATATCAGAGTGCGTGCGAGAAAAGATGAGCAAAGCGAGAAAATGGCAGAGTGAGAGCTTTGCGAGAAGCGGGCTTCATTGGCTTAGTTAATAACTTGTGTTAAAAAAAAGTAGCGTTCCCGCTTAACTGAAGTGGGAACTAAAAAGGAGAGATCAACAATTTATATAAACCACCCAGAAAAGTTATTTTAAATAAGCGGGGTATTAATATATTAAATAAATTAAACTATACATAAATAAAATTACCACCTGAGCTTTCAAACACGGGAGACTTGAAAATCAACGGTAATTAAATCAAAGAATACAACAGCACGATCTACTAGTAGTCTACTAGTTTATATATTATCGCATCGCATCAGCCTTAGCAATTTATAATATTAATATTTATTATATAAGAGCCTACTAGTTCATAGTTTTATTAAGATTAAGCCCAACCCTAGGGGCTCGAGTCAGTATCGATGTTATAAAAGCGATAATCTAGGAAAAGTGTTAACAAGCAGCGGCAGGCGCGGAGAATCAAAGTTTACGAATACCGATCGTAAGCCCGGTCACTTCTTCGGCGGCAGCAAAAGACTCCGGCTGGGCAAATAGGAAAGTGCCATATAACAGCGACCAGGAAAAAGGAAAATATAAACTGGATATATATCGCAAACATCGGATATAGTTTTCCGATCCTTATGAGAATATCATAATTAAACCAATTAATTACAATAAAAAATCTACCAAAAACCATTTCCGATCGTTCAGTTATATGACAGCTATAAGATATAGTCCGCCGATCGTTATGAAATTCGGTACGTGGGATCAACTGATCAAAAATAGAGTAAGTGTAATAGAGTAATTTGTAGTAAGTTTCAGCTTTCTATCTTCAAAAACACGAAAGTTGGGTCATTTCCGATCGTTTAGTTATATGGCAGTCGGCCGATCCTTACAAAATTTAGCATGTCGTATTATTTTGCCAAAAATAGCTCTCTTTTAATAAATGAACTCTCTAAATCTAAAAACACCGAAGTTATTCCATTTTCGATCAATCAGTTATATGGCAGCTATAGGATATAGTCGGCCGATTCCGGTCGTTCCAATTTATATACTGCCGGCAAAAATTATCCGCTTTCAGTAACATTTCAAATGTTTTTTCGAATTTCTACAAAACAAAATGTCGAAAATCAATGAAGTAGCAGACACTTGAAAGTAGGCACTCAACGGAATTCATTGCGCACATTGCGGTGTCCCGGATATAAGGTCGTAGAATCATCTGAAACACATGGGATACAAAAAAAATTAGTTCTTTAGAAGTATACCTACCAAACAACGTTGCCCTTTTAAAAGAAAATTTTCGTTTTTTCAACTGTAGGTAAAGGTAAAAGTTTGTTTTTAGCCCTAAAAATTCGGCATTTTGTGCCTGTAATATAGAAGCAAAAAATAAATAAATTGGGACCGTTGGCTGGGAGTCAATTCTTCGAAGGGGCTCGGTGTTTGACGTCATATCTCAGTCAGTTTAACTCTGAATGAGCTGAAATGAGACAATATTCTTCCATAGTTGTACATTCGATTTAACAATTTTTTTTTTAAATTTTATCCCATACCACCCCCTTAAGAAAACATTACATTAACCGCAATTAGCCGTAAGTCCACTAGCAGGTAGTTTTCCCAGTATCACGCTGATATCAGAGTGCGTGCGAGAAAAGATGAGCAAAGCGAGAAAGTGGCAGAGTGAGAGCTTTGCGAGAAGCGGGCTTCATTGGCTTAGTTAATAACTTGTGTTAAAAAAAAGTAGCGTTCCCGCTTAACTGAAGTGGGAACTAAAAAGGAGAGATCAACAATTTATATAAACCACCCAGAAAAGTTATTTTAAATAAGCGGGGTATTAATATATTAAATAAATTAAACTATACATAAATAAAATTACCACCTGAGCTTTCAAACACGGGAGACTTG